GATCTCTTTGAAAACTGTTCAAAGTATTCAGAAAAAATCACCAGAGAAGCTTAAACTTCATAGAAAGAAAGTAAAGGTTAGAACCTTCGGTGGTAACCAACTGAAAACTATTGGTCAGGTTTATCTCAATTGTAAAAATGAGGGTCAGAACCATAACCTTGTCTTTCATGTTGTAGATTCAGAAGCTCCTACTCTGATCTGTGCCAAAGACTGTGTTACGATGGGTCTGGTGAAGAGAGTATTCAGTGTTGTCCAGGAGCCAGCAGTCAAACCAAAGCCATCAAGATCATGTTTGATCAGTGTAAATCAGGGTATAGGTAAAAAGCCCTCAAAGTCTGTAAAGTTTGATCTTTTGTCTGATGGTTCACCGTCTGTTTTGCCGTACTCCCAGTCTCAGTCAAGTGCAGCGCCTCAGTTTGTAAAACCGTGCTCCGAGACACCGTCTGTTAAGTCGCGTTCGCCGTCAAAGACTGTCAAATTGCGAACGGATTTGTCAAAACGTAGTAGTGAAAAGTCACTCTCTGTGGGGGTGTCTAAGTCAAATACTCATGTAAAATCTAGAGAGCAATCTCCAGATCGTGTTAAGAGATCTAAATCTAGTTCTACGTTTCATGAATCAAGTGCATCTCCAAAGACCGTTCTTGATGAGTTTTCAGATGTCTTTGAAGGGTTAGGATGTATTGAAAATGTAGAATATCGTATACAGTTAGATCCAAATGTATCGCCTGTTGTTCATGCACCACGTAAAGTGCCATTGAAATATAGGGATAAAGTCTAAGTTGAGTTAGACAGGATGGAAAAACTTGATGTTATTGAACCTGTTCATGAGCCAACTGAATGGGTAAATAGTATGGTAATTGTTACAAAGCCTAATGGTTCAATAAGATTATGTTTAGATCCAAAGGATTTGAATAAAGCAATCATGCGTGAACATCATCCTATGAAGTCAGTTGAAGAAGTTGTAACCAAATTGACAGGTGCCAAAGTCTTTACAGTTATTGATGCAAGTCAAGGATTTTGGTCAGTAAAACTCAGTCCTGATTCGAGAAAACTTTGTACATTCAACACACCTTTTGGTCGCTATTGTTTCAAAAGGTTACATATGGAATATCATCAGCACCTGAAGTGTTTCAAAGAGTCATGTCACAAATGTTTGATGATCTTGAGGGTACTGATTTTGTAGTTGACGTTGTACTTGTCTGGGGTTCTACTCAAAGTGAGCATGATGAAAGATTAAGAGCTGTACTTCAGCGAGCCCGTGAGAGGGGTATTAAATTGAATAAAAGGAAAACACAGTACAGTCAAAGTCAAATCAAGTATTTGGGACACATACTCAGTGATTCCGGTGTCTCTCCAGACCCAGACAAGATCAAAGCTATTGTCAATATGCCAGTTCCAACCGATGAACAAGGGATATTAAGATTCCTTGGTTCCGTGAATTATTTAGGCAAATTCATTCCAAACTTGTCTGAGCTAACTGCTCCACTTCGTGAATTGTTGAGCAAAGAAATTGAATTTCATTGGACTCAAAAGCAACAAGACAGTTTCGATCATTTGAAAATGTTGATTACCAAAACACCCATTCTCAGATTCTTTGATGTTAACAAAGAAGTCACCATGTCTGTTGATGCTAGTAAAGCAGGAGTTGGGATGGTTCTAATGCAAGATAATGGTCCTGTTGCTTTTGGTTCACGTGCATTAACCAAATCTCAACAAAACTATGCACAAATTGAAAAAGAGATGTTTGCTATTGTGGCTGGTTGTGAAAAGTTCCATGAATATCTTTATGGTCAGACTGATGTCAAAGTTGAAACTGATCACAAACCATTAGAAACTATATTCAAAAAAACACTTAGTAAAGCACCAATGAGATTACAGAGAATGTTACTCCGTGTACAGAAGTATTCGCTCAATGTTGTGTATACTCCAGGGAAAAAGTTAGCCCTTGGAAGTCTCGCGGATACTTAATCACGTGCTTACCTCGATGAATATGAAAACAATGATGATGATGCCTTCACTGTGAACATGTTAAACATGGTGAATGTATCTGATGTCAAGTATGCACAAATACAAACAGAAACCAAGAATGATCCTGAGTTACAATCGGTCATGTCAGTTATAATGAATGGCTGGCCCGAGTCTAAAGCGCAATTACCAAGTCTAGCACTTCCTTATTTTAACATTAGGGATGAAATAACTTGCTATGACGGTGTATTGTACAAAAATGATCGTGTTATCATTCCAAAGTCTATGCGCTCTGAAATGTTGAAACTCATTCACAAATCACACCTTGGAATGCAAAAATGTAAAAACCGAGCAAGAGATGTCCTATTTTGGCCAGGTATGAATAGTCAAATTGAGGACATAGTCAAGATGTGTTCTGTATGCCAAATCAATAGATCACAAAACTGTAAGGAGACATTGAAGTCTCATGAAATACCGAATCGTCCTTGGTCTAAAGTTGGTTCTGATTTACTTGAGTACAATCAGCGTGATTATGTAATTGTAGTAGATTACTATTCCAAATATCCAGAATTGCAACTAATCAAAAACAAGACTAGTTCATGTGTTGTGCAAGCAATGAAGTCAATATTTGCTAGGCATGGCATACCAAACCAATCCATCTCTGATAATGGACCGTGCTATGATTCTCAAACTTTCCGTCAATTCGCGAAAGACTGGGGTTTTGAACACAAGACGATTAGCCCTCATCATAGTCAGTCGAACGGTCAAGCTGAAAATTGTGTCAAAATAGTCAAGAACTTAATGAAGAAGGCTGAAGCAAGCCAAGATGATCCACACATTTCCTTATTAGAGTTCAGAAACACTCACATAGATGGCATTGGTTTGTCTCCTGCTCAGATGTTATTTGGTAGGAGACTCAGGTCACTTCTACCTACACCTGAGATACTCTTGAAGCCAAGTCATCCGAATCATGTAAATGTACATTCAAAACTTGTTCAGAAACAGCAGCTTCAGAAGAAATACTATGATAGAAATGCACATGATTTGTCTCAGTTAGAAAATGGTGACAAGGTTCAGTTCAGACTCAAAGATCAATGGGTACCAGGAGTTGTTGATAAACAGCATAGTAATAGATCCTATATTGTTAAAACACCAAACAGAGTTTATAGAAGGAACCGTAAACATCTTATGCCTACTAGTGCTGAGCAAATCCAGCATAATCATGATCCAGAGCAAATTCAGCAGAATGATTATTCAGAACATGGTACTCACACTAGTGTTACAAACCAGTGTGATCAGAACAATGACTCTGTTAAAACTGATTCATCTGTGAAAAATGAATCATCTACATCTACTACCAGTTCGCCAAAGAGTGTGATAGAGAGACGTTATCCTTTAAGGGATCGCAAACCACTTCACAGATTAGACTTGTAGTGTTAAGCAATGGTGATACATTGCAGTTTATCATATATAGTGTTTTGAACAAAGACATTTTTATGGACAATTTGATTTTTATTCAATAGTATGCTGAAAAGGATTCTTACATCTCTCATTTCATACATGTCTAAGTTTCTACATAAAAGTTTATTATAAGATACTTTTGAGTATAAAGTTATCAGTGATTTTTGCTAAACATGTTTTCAAACATAAACTTAAAGGCCAATATAATTTTCATGTATGTTTCACATTGAGCAAACAGGGCCAATATATTTTCATATATGTTTCACATTAGGTATAAAACAAATCTTAAAAAGGGAGATGTAATGTTATTGTGTTCAACTACCTTAACTTGATATACTATTTGTGTCGTGTCATGGCCCGATGAGCCAATCAGGTTATAGAAATAAATTCACTTCGTAAACCCCGCATGGTTTGGTTTTGTCTACTAAATATTATAGACTTAATCAGTTCTGTCTTTAAACAACGACCCAATTACCAAATGGTCCGTGTACAGACTGACAAATGTAGAAATGTGGTGACCGGGCTAGATTTTCCTTTGGGGCAGGGCATTAATGCCTGCCTATACAGGCTGTCCGAAAAAAACAGGACCGTAAGAAAGTTGAATAATTCGATTAATTTTGCATATTTTGCCTTGAAATTTTAGAATTATAAAGTTCATTTAATGTGAATTTTGTTGTAAAAGTTTGTTAATAAGCTGCTTATTGAATCAAAAACTACAGTTCGTTACAAAACATGCCCCAAATGTGCAACTCTCCTCTCTATGAACAATTCAATGCGGCGAACAAAGTTGTTGATGATCCTCCTACACATATTTCTTTTTGAATTGACAAGTTTATTCCAAGAACAATTGCTACTGGGGCTAACATCCTCCTGATGAAGTGTTACAGTATCCATTGCATTCTGAACAATGAAATGCCTGGGTGGCAATGAGCAAACATGGAATCATCAGTCCTTTTTGGTTCGAAGATGATTGGGGACGTGCTATCACATGAACAAGCACCAGTATATTCAAGTTTTCACTAGGTTGTGGAGGTCACTAACCACCAGAAGGGGCATCTTAGGAGATAGAAAGTG